CTTAACTAAATGTGTATAGATATAGTGTATCCTCCTGGTTAGCAAAAAGAACCACCAAATTTAGTGTACAGGCTATATTTACTTGCAAATCAAATCAACCTTTCTTTAGAAAGGTAACTAAAAGGTACAAATGCAAAACATGATTAAAATGGATTTAAATCAAAGCTCCCTGCTTGCTGATTTAAACAATGATTGAAGTCAGTGATTTAAATTGCTTATATTTACATCAAAGGACCTTGGGGTGGCAGTTTGGCATCTGGAAATGAGGAAAGGCAGTGCCATACTGGCCAGACATGCACCAGCAATTCCTCCATGGAGCATCAGTATGATTTATAGATCAGTTTGACAACCTCTTTAAAATACAGACACTGGCTTAAGAAAGGAAAAATAAAGTCACTCATGTACTGTACCATCTTCCAGTTTCCATGCTGTAGATCCATATTTCATCTCTAGGCAGATAGAAGTCATAAAATCCCCTAACTTGAGCATTCTGCAGGGACAGCAGAGAAGAGAAAAGGCACTATTACAAAAGGCTCGACATTTTATATCATGTAGAATCAAGTGTTTTCAGGCCTGCCCTCCTTCCCCCCTCAGAAACAATTCCACCTATTTTTAAATGTTTATGAAACAGAAAATAGCATCAGGAGCCAGAGGAGGGATGAGTAGTGGTGTGACCAGTGCAGGCTGCACTCCAGTGACTCCCGCTTGTGTAACAGCCCTTAGGGAGCAGTTACACACTGTGACAAATTCAAGCTGTCTCAGGGCTACTTTAGCTTGTGCTGGGGACTGCACCAGCTCACTGCAGACTCCAGGATCAGAGGAGTATTAACATGGGTTAAAGCCACCTTTGCAAACCCCCTCCCCCGGCACACTAAAGCTCTAGCATGAGGATCTGCGCTCAGACTTTTTTTTTTTTTAAAGGATTTTGCCAGATGTTAATGGAATACACTAGGCACCTTGTTTCCAGATATCTGCAAAAAAATTAGTTTGATGTCACGTGAAAAATAAATTTGGTGACCTTACCCTTGTGAACTGGACCAACAAGAACTAGATCATAATATGGTTTTATTTTCTTTTTAAACTACACATATGCCAGCATGATTAGCAGTCTACTCAGGACCTCTGAACTCTAATGTATCTCCAAGTAGGGGAGTGCTAGAAAAGCTGTGTGGATAAAATGGTTAAGTGCCGATCTGCGCAATATCTGGATCAACCAACCAACAGTATTTCCCTATCTTCCAGAGGATTAAATAGCTGGCAAGAAATAGAGAAAAGAAACCCCATCTCCTACAAATAGCCATTGATTAGTCTCCAGAGCATTTATTTAACATCATTTTACAAGGGTCATGCCATTTCTAACTACTTACATGTCACCTTAAAGTTATAAAGTTCAGTACGTGGCATGTCAAACTTTTTTTGAGTGGTTATATTATGTATTTAGAGTTTTGTCAAAATACTGAGGCCGGTCAACCTCAATAGCACCACCAATGACAGATGCCTGGGTTAGCGCAGAGAGAAGCTGTTTTGTCAGACAAGGAGGACTCAGCTGTAGTAATATTTTAAAAGAATAACAGTTTGAGAATGGTACCTTATAGCCTCCCCAAACAAACATGCAGTGTCCATCAGTGACTGCTACATGCCCACTGCGCTCTGCGGGGCTGCTGTTCTCCAGCTGCTCAAAGTTGTCCTCAGCTGGAGCGGGGAGCTCTTCATCTGCCTGCAGCTCTTCATTATCATCAGCCATTTTGATACAGTGCTATGTTCCTAAAACAGACATGTGGGCCTTTTAATAATCACTGGGTGAAACAAGGAGTAGAGAAACTTCACAGAGCTGCTTCCCTCACACAGGTGAAAGATGCCAGACGGAAACAAGAGACAGCCCCACGGTGGAAGGAAGTTTCCTCGTGCACTCTCCTGCCACTTGGAGCGGAAGGCTCCGCTGTGTGTTTCTTGTGTGTCACTTCGGCTGCGGTCGCCTTTACGGAGGAGCACAGAGCTCGGGCGGGCCACACACGCTCAGCGGGATTTAACGGCCTGGCTTAGGGACCCTGGGCACAAGCTGCTGCTGCTGCTGCCGCAGCCTCCCGGCAGCGCGTCTATCCCAGCGACGCGGCAGCAACACCTACCCCGCCGGAGACACGGCCAAACGCGACGTGACCCGCGCAGATACGGGGGGCGCCTCACAGGCAGCCCGGGGCCGGGCAGCCGGCGGACCAGGGGCCCCGCCAGGGCGGCCGAGCCGCTTGGCGGGGGGGGGCGAGGCTGGCGCTGCGCTCGGGGAGGGGGGGGCGCTCGCCGCCCGCCCGCCCCTCGCGCGCAAGGGTCAGGCCCCCCCCCGGGCTGCGCCGGGCCCCTCGGCCCGGGCCGGACACTCCCCCGACGCCGCCGCAGGGCGGGGGCAGGCGGCTCGCGCCACCCCCTGACTCACCTCAGCGGGCCACCCAGCCTGTTGTGGGCCACGGCTGTCAACATCCGCCGCGGCGCACTTCCGCTCCCGGCAGCCTCCGCGCCCAGCGCCGGCTCCGCCCCCCACCGACCGCCGCGCGCGCGCCTCCCCCGCCCCCATGACAACCCGAGGAGGGCGGGGCAGGCGTTGGCCCCGCCCTAGCGATGCCGCCTGGCCGCAGGGTAGGAGCTTGGCTGTGCCCAGGCCAGACCCCGGGGGTCCTGGTTCCCGTCCGTGGACAGTCCTACAGCAGCCTGGCTGGGGATGATCATGTCCTATTACCACTGCGCTCGGCGCTGTACAAAGCAGGGCCGCCCGCTGTCCCAGGTGTCCTGGCGTCTGGAAATCTTCCCAGCGCAGTAAAGGTGCCGGCTTTGGTCAGGCACGCCCCATTGGCTCCCACAGCCCCTCTTGTCAGGACAGCCTGAGGGCAGCCGTGCCCGCGCCCCGGGCGCTCTAGCTCCGGAGTAGTTGGGAACTGCAGGGATGGGGTGGCTCGGGAGCAGCCAGTGGAACGGGCAGAGCAGGTACCGGCTGTGGGGTCACCGCCAGGTGGGACTACGATGGATCGGCTGGTGCCATACCCTGTTTGCCACGGTCAGTGGCCAGGGTAGCCCTGGCAGCAGGTGGCTGTGGGGGCTGGTGTGATCCCCCAGGGATGGGATAGCGAGCCAGTGCCGGGGGGGGGAGAGGAGGCCAGGTGTATGTGGTAGAAGGTAGGGGGCAGGTGGATGTCCTGTGTTTTTGCACCTCAGAGGGCAGATGCCCCATATTTTTTTGTATGCAGAGGTGGCAACCCTCATGTGAGCACAGAACAGAAATAGGGTCTCTGCCTCAAGATTACAATATTAAATTATTCACTACGTACTCCCTGTCCCATACTCCATGATGACCTGGACTTCATGGTGGTGGGGGTCACATACTGACCTTTAGGACACTTAATTTAGACCTTGACCTTGCAGCTGATTCTATTCAAACAGACACTTGTGTCTACATGTAGCCCATACAAGAATAGGTCAGGGGTACTAGAAAGGGCTCCTGAAACTGCAGTACCAAGAGGTGCACTGATCCTTCAGGGATTGGTCTGAATGGACCTTCCTGGGTTCTGGAGTCAACAATCCCTCCTGGCTCACACATTGCTCCTGGGGGTGTGACTTTTTTGAGTGCCCCACTGAGTCCTTACAAACACTTGGTGCCTTCTTCTTGCAGAGTCCGGTACCTAGGCTTTAAGAGACTTAACACAGTCTCTTCTTAGGATTCTATTAGAACATGAGGAGCATGCCTGACAGACTCGGACTTCTTGGTACTCATTCTGACAGCAGATGATGTGCAGACTCCATGAGCATGTACTTGAATCTGGCAATTTTGTGACCTTTTTCGAACAGGGTTTGAACCCTCTACAAGTGTGGTGTTTGTCACATGTGCCTTCCCAGACACTTAAGGCAGATGGAGTTTGGGTTGCTCACTGGCAGATCTGTTACATGAACAGGGTGGCCTTGAAGCCATGTGAATGGGGCATCAGTCCGAACCTGGAGCCCAACCAAGCCAATGGTAGCTATATACTAAAAAGATCATAGAATCATAGAATATTAGGGTTGGAAGAGACTTCAGGAGGTCATCTAGTCCAACCCCCTGCTCAAAGCAGGACCAACACCAAATAAATCAGCCCAGCCAGGGCTTTGTGAAGCCAGGCCTTAAAAACCTCTAAGGAGGGAGATTCCACCACCTCCCTAGGGAACCCATTCCAGTGCTTCACCACCCTCCTCGTGAAATAGTGTTTCCTAATATCCAACCTAGACCTCCCCCACTGCAACTTGAGACAATTGCTTCTTGTTCTGTCATCTGCCACCACTGAGAACAGCCTAGCTCCATCCTCTTTGGAACCCCCCTTCAGGTAACTGAAGGCTGCTATCAAATCCCCCCCCCCTCACTCTTCTCTTCTGCAGACTAAATAACCCCAGTTCCCTCAGCCTATTCTATTCCCTCAGTATTCTAAATTTATTCCCGAAGCTATTTACAGATATTCTGTAAAAACTAAAAACAAACACTAAAGATACTATTTACACTAAAGGAGGGAAGATATGAAGAAACAAAGACTGTAGCTGCAACAGTAACTGTCACTGGCAGTAGGAAGGAACTGAGGGGAGTCGGGAGCAGTGCAGCCCTTTATACCTACATGCAGTGATGCGAGGCACTAGAGGGCACTCATGCTGCCCCCACCGGTACTGCTAAGAGAAAAAACTTCAAGGTGCACACACACTTACAGTGGAATGGACATGTGCAATCACTTGAAGAAGAAGAATTAGCAAAGTTTTTAGACAGAAGTTAGAAGTAGTGGGTGGAAGAAAATTGTGAAATACTAGTACAACTAATTCAAAATATGGGACACACTGATGTCAATGGGAGTGTAAGGATCCTTTTGTCCTAAAACAGTATGCTTTTAGGAATTAAATATTACAGATAGTACTTTAAAGTGTGGCACAGTCACGTATTTTAAAGGAAACATGTTACTTATGATAGAATTGTAAAATATTTTGCAGTCTGTGATCATAACTGATTTACAATGTAGTCTGTCAAAAACTCACATTTTTATTCTAGTTTATAACAGTAAACAAAGAAGTAACTGCAAATATTCTGAAACATTAATGAAAACAACATGGTGCTAAAGGCACTTTTGATAATGTCTATAACTGAATCTGAACAGTCTCCATAAAAAAAATTGCTGGTATTTTACCTCTTTTTTTATACTAACTTCTTTACATAAGAACATTTACCCAAGTGTAATAATAACAAAATTGCTTGTCTTAAGATAATTAACACAAATTTTCCACTGCTACATACAGTCTGAAATTAATCATTTTGAATTTTTATAGTGCTAAATGTTCCCCAGGAACATTCCTATAAAGTGCACTTGCTGTGCTGTTGAATGTCCCAGGTACATCTAACATTCCACTGATTTTAAATGTTCACAGCAGCATATGTGCAGTGGCAAAACTATAGCAAATGGATTAAGGATTACATATTGCCACAAAATGTTTTGATCCTATTTCCTCTGTAAATCAATGGGCAAAATTCTCCTCTCACGTCTGTACAGTAGAAATAGCACTTCAGTATTCCTCTATGCATGTAGATCTCTCAGTGATGTCATTGTGAATTCTGCACATATGGGGAAGCAGAACACCAGACTTGCGTACTATCATGTGGATCTGAGAGAGAATTGTCCCTAGTATCATTAATACAGATACTCATGGGAAAAGTTGCCTTTTAAGGATTTATAATTAATTCCAAAATGATGTTATCTATCCTTAACCGTAACTCCTATCTGAGAAAAATATAATTCCGTATGTGAAAGAACCAATTTTAAAAGGACTTTCAAAACTTCTGAACTCCAGTCATAAAAGCTGGAGGATGGAGGTCATAAAACCTGGAGGATGGAGGTGGAGCCTGGAGGTGTTCTCTTCAAATTTGATCAGATCAGTTCAAATGATGGTCTAAAGAGCTCTTATAGGCCCTGATCCTTCGAAGACTCATATATGTGCATAACTTTAAGCATGTGAGTAATCCCACTGAACAAAATGGGACTATTCATGTGCTTGAAGTCAAGCATGCATATGAGTCTTTGCAGGATGAGGGTCATAACAAATTCTAAGTAATTAATATATGCATTGTGGTAGGATGTATTTGAAATTGTCCCTTGTTCTGCAGGATAAGAGCTGCAAATCCAGCTATATGTTAAAAAGTGGAAGGAGTGGATGCTTATACCTAAGAAAATTTTACAGTCGTTGGGGCCAGTTTAATCATTTGAACCATTTCCTTGTGTGTGGGAATCCCTTTTAACATAAAGACCACAAATCTGGACAATTTACACTCCCACTTCACATTTTTTTTTTTTTTTTGCTAATATCAAATGTCTCCGTAGTTGAAGAAAATAGGAAAATATGGCTCAACTGTGATACTCAGTCATAATATATTTTCTTCTAAGATACACATTCACTACAAAATCTCCTTTCCTAATTACATAGGATTTTGGAGTCAGATTGTAAAAATGGTAAAAACTAATCAGAATGGTCTACATTCAAATATACTGTTTACATAAAATTTTAATGACTGGGTCCCAACTAACTAAATACCCAAAACAGATAGGAAAATAGTAATTCTATATAAGCTTTTTACAATAAATAAAATATTTTGAACCAAAATTAAATATAAACTTTACACATTCAAAATAAAAAATATATATAAAATCTATTTTGAAAAAATGTCATTGATTAGAGAATTACAGTAAAACAATGTTATGAACTGCATCTGAATTTTCACATACAAAATTATTTAGCTTAATATCTTTTTTTTTTACTTTTAAAGTTCCACAGTTTAGCCAACGTGTTGATTTTTTTGCTTTTGTGTAGGATGGTTACCTCCCAGTATCAATAGTCAAACTTTCATATGCTGCTGTTAAATAAATCAAACAAAAGGATTTGCAATTATAATCATATTAACAAGAGTTAAATTAACACGGATACTGTGTCAAACTAATTTTGTCTTCATCAGCAAGTGCTGATGTGACAAAACTGGAAATAAGACTTTAGATCCGAAAGAGAAATTTTTATGCCTCTGAAAAAGTTCTGTCTTCTGTTACTTTCCAAAAGAGTACTTTTTATGAAGTCGCTTACCAAGACCATAAGAGCAGAAGTTAATTTCTGCAACCTCAAGTGGTGTTATTACAACACAGAATATTTAGTTTTCACTCTTTGCAATACCTCAGGAAACAAAAAGGACTTTCTTGTAGAAACTCAGCCTACCAAATACCTTATGTGTACTGCTAGTAAACAATCGCTAACAAAAATCTTTGCTGTATACTATAAATACATATAGCGGTCAATATCTTTTTTGTCCTTGTTCAGGTGACATTTATTTGCTCTTGTTTTTCAATTTCAGCTTTTTTCTCTTGCCGATGGTTAGATGCAGCCCAAAAGGTTATTTTTTTCAACACTTGTGGCAAAATTTTGGATGGTAACCAGGATATTTGATTCTTTAAAAGGCTGGCATTTTTACCAATGCAGTCAAGGCACAATCTGAAAAGAATGTCAGAATTAACTAAGGTCTTATAACCTAAAGATAAAACACATGAAACAAACTTTTACAAAAAATGTTAAATTAAAAATATATGTAATTTATGTATAGTCCATTCCATAATAATACCAATGCTTTAAAACTGTTTTGAAACATATTTACAGAGCATATTTACATTATTAACTAGAGTCATCATTTTGTTTCTTACCTACTGATCCAGGTAAGAATAGTTAAAAGTGCCTTATGTTAAAAAAAACTATTCAGTTATAAAAAGTAGTACCATAATTATCTGTGCTAGACTCTTTGTGCCACTATATAATCTAAACTCACCTGAGAAGTGAGTAAGGTTGAGTTTGAAAAATCAATAAATCACTGCAGTGACCCTAATGAAGAAGAACAGCAACAATCAGGAGAATGATCAAGATTAACTGTCAATTTAAAAGTTATCCCAGGAATACCTTTATATTTGTTTCAACAGGATGATATAAAATGGATTACCATAAATATAATTAAAATCTATGAATATTTAAATTAACAATTATATTATAAAGATTAAAAATACTTCTGAGCCCCCACCTACATGCCTACAGAGGCAGGACTTTGGGGACACGTCTTCTTCAACCTCCCCTCTCAGCAACATTGAAGGGCCACATCTTTACAGCATCAAGTTCCCCTGACAACTGCTTTGTGGGGCTGGGAGGTGGATTTTTGAATTGGAAAGATGTGGGAAAGTGGTAAGAAGGGATTTAGGTAATGGGCAAACTCTAGTGGCATCTTCACAACCCTGGACAACAGTGATGTCAGAATATATGTTTTACTATGGATTGATGGAGTATGTGCCATCTGGCATCTTCAGGGACCCAACCCTGGTCCCTGAACAACAGAAGAGCTTTGATGGCCTTCCAGCCCGATCTGAGGCAGGACTTCTAGGGGGAGAGAAGTTTAGGAGTTTATATTTTAAAAGGAACTAATAATGGTAGATAGAAAGATGTTTGGGAATAGTCAGTAGAATAGAAAGAAAACAAACAATTACAATAAATAATATACAAATAATGGGGTCTATGATTAGATAGCAAATGTTTAAAATGGTAATTGAGTAAAATTAAAACATAGTTTAAATGAGTCAGAACCATCAAGGTGTACACACACTCTTAGCTTATGTAACCAGATGATAACTATTACTTTTACCATAATCTTCCTTCCCCTTTCCCTCTTGTTTGTTACACTTACTTGTGGAGTCTTGTTTTTGGTTTTTTTTAGGTTAAGATATGCAGACATTCACACATGCCCATAACTATTCACATGACTTCAGTGGGACTACTCACAGGAATTATGCACACAAGTACATGTTCTGTGCTGCGTGGAACTCAGATCTACAGATGCACCTATATAGCAGCATAGGGAGTGGGTGTTCTGTAGCTATGCAGATGTGTGTCAGTTCCTGCAGGAGTGGATGAAGCAGGCTCAGCAGAGTTGTGCCATTCATTTGGAGGGCTGGGGTATGGAGTGTGCCTCTCTGGCTTTTCCCCTGCACATCTACATAGCACCCAGTCCCACTAATTGGGCTGTTGCTATGCTCTGGATATAGGCATTAAGGCACAAAAATTAACACACTATATAGTAATACCAAACAATCCATGAATGATGATGAATTGTAGTTCTTATAGGAACCAAAACTTTAAAATGTAAATCAAGATTGCTCCACTGAAGAGAGTAGTCACAAGAATGATGAAAGGAAACATGCTTTATAAAGATAGACTTAAGGAGCTCAATCTATTTAGTTTATCAAAGAGAAGGTTAAGGGGTGACTTGTTTATAGTCCAGTAAATATTTGTTTCCATGTAGGTACTTACAAAAGGGCTCTTTAATCTAGCAGAAAAAGGTATAACAGGAGGCAGTGGCTCAAAGTCAAAGCTAGACAAATTCAGACTGGAAATAAGACATACACTTTTAATGGTGAGAGTAATTAACCATTGGAGTAATTTACCAAGGATCGTGGTGGAGTCTCCATTCCTTACAATTTTTAAATCAAGATTTTTCTAAAAGATCTGCTCTACGAAGTATTTTGGGGAAGTTATGGCCTGAGCTATACATGGGGTCAGCCTAGATGATCACAATGATCCCTTTTGGCCACAGAATCTAGGAATCTAAGTCAAGACATTATACTGATTTATACCAACTGAACAGTTGGCCTTGAATGTCCTGATCTTCATGCACTTAAATTCTCAGCAATAATGTTGAATTAATGTTTTTTTAATTAAATTATACTAAGACTTCATTATTAAATTTACTGACTGTGTCCAAGAAATGCAAGTCATCTTTGCTCCCACCAAAGATCATCACTTCTCCTTCTGTGCCAAGACAGGCTGTGTGCCACAACCTACAAACAAATTTATAAATAAAATGAATAGCTTAATAAATAAAATAATAATAATGGTTTATTTGCATATTATCAACTAAAGAAATCTAAATTAGTTAATTTTAAATGTTTTAATATAGGATTCAGGGAAGCAGACCTTTATCTGAATGAGTATAACCTCATCCACATCACATGATTTCCCCCTCATTTCTCATATCTCAAAAGATTCATTTGAAAAGAAAATTGAATAATGACATGATAAATTTGGTTAAATGGAGCAGTCAATTTTATAAATGCTATGAATCCAATACTTATGAACAGACAAATTGAATTCTTACTGGTCTTACACTACTTACCAAGAGGAATTTTATTAAATTCTTATTGTATAAAAAATATTTCAGGAGGCTTCAACACTCAGGAACCATGCCTGAAAGATCAAATTATTCACTTCTATACTTGTATGAGAGGATTAAAAAGTAATGGAAAGGAATATGACTAGCCATTTTACCTTAAGAGAACTTTCAGACCGACATATTAATGTGGCTGTCTGGCTGATTTGTAGTATAGTTTTTCTATTATATATATATACACACACACACACATATACATATATTGGCTTACCTATCGTTATTTTACACAGAACACTACAGTGGAAAACTCATAAGTATCTTGATAAATGTTTACATATAGTAAGTATTTTATTTTTATATCAGTTTTCCACTTTTATTTTTTAATTAACAAGTACTAGCAAATTGGGATTATGGGCTCATTTATGTTGACTCTCATTCCTGAATTTTAGGATTGAGTCTCAGAACACAGGTTTTTCTCCATCAGTTCCCATCCATCCTTTTTCTGCCTCATTCCAATTCATGCAGATCACTTTCTGATTGTGACAATTTCCACATTCATGCTCAGCAGGAGAAGTTTTGTTTGTGTTGTGTATATAAAATGTTTTGGAGAAAAGTGATTCTTATAAACTTATTATTTTATCAACGATTCATATAAGTAGATTTTCACTGTACTGCATTTAGTTATTGTTATTATTATTAGAATTAATTGATCGAATTCTGCACTGTCTTGTGCCAAGTGTAACCCCACTCAGGTAAACAGGATAGCATTGGGTGTAAGTCAATGTAGAATTTGGCCCCTTCTGTTATGTTTTAACTACTAAAAAGTACGCATAAATGGAATTTTCATGCAAAACTAAATTCACTCACATTTTCTTACGTCATTCATTTCAGCAATTATTCACTGTTCTCCTTACACTAAACTATCCCACCTTTTCTCTTCCTCATACCTGTAGATAGATCTGTCTCTGTCTTATCTGCATTAGGAAAACTCTGGCCTGGACTTGATCATCGAAGAACACTGGAAAGCCTTTCCTGCCTTGACTTTCTTGACATTCTAGCTTGAAACCTGATGCTTTTTTCTATAGACTGATAGAGTTTATGTCCTCTCACAGCTGCTCTAACTTATCACCTAAACATTCTAATAAAGCATGTTATTTACATAGTACATAAGCTGAATTAATGTAACCTTTTTACACAGACTCTCTACCTAGAATTATAGTGATGACATAGTTTATCCTTTAGTTAAACACTGGGAGTTTATAACAAACAAAAAATTCATGCTGGAAAGAAACTTGGCATGCAAAGTCTTAGCCTAGCTGCAATTAAAAACCAAACCAAAAAACAAAACACTTTTTCCAGCAAGACACACAAGGTTCATTCAATACTGTAAGTCTATAATAAGAGTGACAGTTTATTATGCATAATTAGAAACAGAAAAACAGTCTCTTACATAAATTATTTTGGGGGATTGTCATAAATGAAAAAGTTTTGTAGGAAACTCAAGAAAATACATTCATGCACTTATGCATGTGATATAAGCTATATCTTTATATAGGGATATACACATGTATACTTTTTTTGCCAACACATTTTAAGCACAGGGTTGCCAACTTCCAGGATTGGCCTGGCGTCACCCAGAATCAGCATCCATCTTCCGGTGACTATTGAAAGCAATGCAGGAGATTTTAATAGGATATTTTAAGAAAATGACATTATGTTATGTTGGAAAAAAAAATCTCCTGGAATAGCTTCAGTCAGAGTTGGCAACCCTAATTTTAAGACTCTGTTCTCAAATTCATCCCACTGCAAAAGGCCTGCATAAAGCTGCCTGTGTTCTGAAGGCCCTGCAATAACCCTATACATATATCAGGAGATAGGGCACAGATACAGTACTGAAAATGTGCTCTGAACCAACTCCAAATAGGCCAGCATGGAAGGGGATTTCCAGAGTTGGCCAGATTAGAAGCCAGTAGATCTGTGTTTATATGGCCTGATGCAAAGCCCATTGCAATCAATAGAAAAACTTCCGTTGATTTCAACAGGTTCTGCATCAGGCCCATATAGATCCACTGGCCAAGAACCTAAGCACAGGGGCCACAGATACTATTCTAACCTACAGTCTGGAATGGTGACTACGCTACAGCCCTTTGGCTGTCCTCACACTGGACACTCACCCACAGCTTGATTACTCTGTTGGAGGCAGTGTGGCCCAGCAGTTACTTTAAGTGAGGCAATGTAGACAGACGATTGTACTGGGAGTCAGAGGACAACTGTTTTAATTCTTACTCTGCTACTGACTTGCTATATTACCCAGGACAAGTCACTCCATTTCTCTGTGTCTCAATTTCCTCATCAGTAAAACATGGATAATGATACTCACCTTCTTGCCTAAAGCACGTTGAGATCTATAGATGGAAAGTGATGTCGAAAGCTAAGTATGATTATTAATACTTGTGCTTTAAGGTGTTTTCCTAAATTTCAACCAGATCTGGTGTAACAATCCTATTATAATTAAACTAAATATAGCAGATATATTGCAGTGGTAATTAATTCAGGAAGAAACCTGGAAACACCCCGGTTAACGTATAAAGTCCTTTTAAAAACTGGCTATGTACCACCTGCAGTAATTAAATTTACCTAGGTATTTACAGTATTTTGGATTCTAAATATAGGGAATGCTGCAAATGTTGGCAAAAATAAAAAAGTGTACCCTGATGCAGTAAGTACCCATTTTCAATGGCACTATCTGTATAACATCCATGTTTAGAACATGAGACTTACTTACTTCAGTCAGACATGGAACGAATCACACATTTCCTTTGCTCTTAATTCCATAAAATTAAATTATGTTTTTGTTCTACGCAAGCTCTAAAAAAGTCTACTTGTGCAAATCTAAAAGATGTAGACATTGGATGTTTGAACTGGACCCTTTTTGCTCAGTAATGAAGTCCACTAAAGATATTATAGTCTTTCAAAATACTGCAATTTAAACCCAATCACTGTTGTTCTGTATTAAATTAATTTATGCAAAACAATAAGTGTCATTAGCTACTTCTGTTCAGGAAAAAAACAGAAAGAACTATTATTTAAACTTCCTTTGAATCCTAAAAGAGTGCAACATCATTTCCCTGGTTCTGTCTCTTCTAAAAATAATGAACTTTCATGATTCATTTAGTTGTATATTATTAAATCTAATGTTAATTAGTAAAAGTGCTACACATTTTACTTTTACATATTTCTGATATCTACTTATTTGGAAGTAAAACATCAAGTGAATTTAGTCTGCACCCCTTTCATTACAAACACCCTATTAGTGCCAGCAAGCATTTTAAATAATAAATCTTGAAAATAAAAAAAGACTATGCCTAATAATGAAAAAGAATAAAACTACTTATATAAAGCAAGCTGTTCAATTATGTCAAGCTCATTTTGTAAAATATTTTAATACATTATTTTAAAGGCAGGTGTTCTGATTTAATACCTTATTTAATCATATTTCAAAATATTCAAAAATTTCAGCAAATGCTGACTTTTTTTTTATACCTAGGCCTACTCTTAGGTAAGTGGGTAAGTTGTTTCCATCCATTTGTTGTGACATTATGAATCCAACCGTCACCTGCAAATAAGGAAAATATGTATCTTAGAATTATTTCTTGGTGAATAAGATATTACCTTTTGTTTTGTACAAAGAGCTCTACAGTCTAAAATATCTAACATCAAAAGAATGACTACCATGTTAATGAATTGACTACCATAATTTTAGAGTCTTCATGACTTAACTTGTGAGTTCTTTTTTGTCACAAAAGATAAAGTTAGCTACACTGAAATCTGGAGTTAAAAACACAATATAAAATATACAAGTCAAATCAGAGACTATTTTGAAATGACAGGACTATATTCATCAGAATGAAGACTGCTGTGTCCCAGGGACTCTACAAATCTTAAAGTACTCCCCCAATCATAGAATATCAGGGTTGGAAGGGACCTCAGGAGGTCATCTAGTCCAATGCCCTGCTCAAAGCAGGACCAACACCAACTAAATCATCCCAGCCAGGGCTTTGTCAAGCCTGACCTTAAAAACTTCTAAGGAAGGAGATTCACTACCTCCCTAGGTAACCCATTCCAGTGCTTCACCACCCTCCTAGTGAAAAAGTTTTTCCTAATATCCAACCTAAACCTCCCCCACTGCAACTTGGGATCATTGCTCCTTGTTCTGTCATCTGCTACCACTGAGAACAGTCTAGATCCATCCTCTTTGGAACCCCCTTTCAGGTAGTTGAAAGCAGCTATCAAATCCCCCCTCATTCTTCTCTTCTGCAGGCTAAACAATCCCAGCTCCCTCAGCCTCTCCTCATAAGTCATGTGTTCCAGACCCCTAATCATTTTTGTTGCCCTCTGCTGGACGCTTTCCAATTTTTCCACATCCTTCTTGTAGTGTGGGGAGCAAAACTGGACAGTACTCCAGATGAGGCATCACCAATGTCAAATAGAGGGGAATGATCACGTCCCTCAATCTGCTGGCAATGCGCCTACTTATACAGCCCAAAATGCTGTGAGTCTTCTTGGCAACAAGGGCACACTGTTGACTCATATCCAGCTTCTCGTCCACTGTAACCCATAGGTCCTTTTCTGCAGAACTGCTGCCTAGCCACTTGGTCCCTAGTCTGTAGCAGTGCATGGGATTCTTCCATCCTAAGTGCAGGACTCTGCACTTGTCCTTGTTGAACCTCATCAGATTTCTTTTGGCCCAATCCTCTAATTTGTCTAGGTCCCTTTGAATCCTCTCCCTACCCTCCAAAATATCTACCACTCCTCCCAGTTTAGTGTCATATGCAAACTTGCTGAGGGTGCAGTCCATGCCATCCTCCAGATCATTAATGAAGATATTGAACAAAACCGATATTGAAACAATATTCCCTCACTTTCTTTATCTCATTTTCTGTCTTTCTTTTTTTCTCTTCCTCCTTCTTCCAAGTCTCCTTTTTGCTTGATCTCCAAGGTGCCAGACAATGAAGAAGGAATTAATTAAGGCCTTCATTTTGCATAATAGATATTTTCATGCAGTAACAGCAAGAGTAACACTGACTACAACCATGATTTCCATAATTAAATATATAAATGATCATCTTATACCTTAATAAAAATAAAATTCCTTAATTTGCAAGGACAGTAGTAATATTTTTATTATTTGATTAATGCATAATAGATGTTAAGTGACGGGCTTTTAAAAAAAATGGTTGCTAAAAAGTGATTGCAGGGACAATCACTCATATCTGTAAAGGACAGAAGACGCAATCTTATAGTCCAAATCATTATCCAGGCAAAACTCTTAAAATGAATGGGAGTGTTGCCTGAATAAAAGAGTGCAGTGTCAAATCCCAAATTTGTCTGTGCAAATCATAGAATCATAAGACTGGAAGGGACCTCAAGAGGTCATCTAGTCCAGTCCACTGTATTAATGGCAGGACTGAATATTATCTAGACCATCCCTGAGAGGTGCTTGTCCAACCCGCTCATAAAAATCTCCAATGGCGGACATTCCACAACCTCCCTAGGCAATTTATTCCAGTGCTTAACTAGCCTGACAGTTAGGAAGCTTTTCCTAATATCCAACCTAAACCGTCCTTCCTGCAATTTAAGCCCATTGCTTCTTGTCTTATCCTCAGAGGTTAACGAGAACAATTTTTCTCCCCCCTTGTAACAACCGTTTATGTACTTGAAAATTGTTATGTCCCCTCTCAGTCTTCTCTTCTCCAGACTAAACAAACCCATTTTTTTCAATCTTCCCTCAGAGGTCACGTTTTTTAGACATTTAATCATTTTTGTTACTCTTCTCTGGACTTTCTCTAATTTGTCCACATCTTTCCTGAAATGTGGTGCCCAGAACTGGACACAATACTCCAGCTGAAGCCTAATCAGCGCCGAGTAGAGCAGAAGAATTAACTTCTTGCGTCTTGCTTACAACACTCCTGCTAATACATCCCAGAAGGATGTTTGCTTTTTTTGCAACAGTGTTACACTGTTGACTCATATTTTGCTTGTGATCCAGTTTGACCCCCCCGATCTCTTTCCACAGTACTCCTTCCTTGGCACAGTCATGTCCCATTTTGTATGTGTGCAACTGATTGTTCCTCCTTAAGTGCAGTACTTTGCATTTGTCCTTCTTGAATCTCATCCTATTTACTTCAGACCATTTCTCCAGTTTGTCCAGATCATTTTGAATTTTAATCCTATCCTCCAAAGCACTTGCAACCCTTCCCAGCTTGGTATCATCTGCAAACGTCATGTGTACACTCTATGCTATTATCTAAATCACTGATGAAGATACTGAATAGAATTGGACCCAGTACTGATCCCTGCGGAACACTTGATATGCACACACATTAAATACATTCAGATTGATGGGTCAAGGCACCTTTCAAAATCTGGCCCTGAATATTTGTGAAACCTGAAGCTCCACCATTACCACCAACTGTGCATTGTATCAGTTATACAGGCTGCCTTTATTAGAAAAAGAGCTTTGTAGCAGGCTCTCTCACTTTTTACGTGAAGGTTTTGTAGGTCAGATTGGAGCAGAAAGTGATTAATGTTACGTTTATTCACATATTGTGTTGGAATTATATTTTGTTACTAGTTTTGCAATTTTATTGTCTTTGATGGAGTTATTCCTGATTTAGACTGGCATGAGTGAGACTCTAGCTCTTATTTTATCAGATGGTAAGTTGTTTGGTGAAAAGGCTATTTGTTCAACACATATACTCATTGTACTGTGCTATGTCCATCATCAGTGCTATATAAAACAACAATAATAAAAAGTGTCTGAATAAATATTCACATAGAGTAAGAGTCATATAACAAGATCTGGACCAAACATCTTTATGATGAAGTTGAATGTATATAACATCATGGTTAGCACTAAAATGTATGATGGACTCTGTATGTTTTGAAGTACTTACTTAGAGGAACATTATCTGAACTCAGTCCACCAAACAGGAAAAGTTTATCATCTGCTATAGGAGTCAAAGTGTGCCACGATCGATCTTTTGGTTTCTCTCCACTAATATGAATTCTTGGTAAAACAAAAAATAAGAAGAGAACAAGTTAAGAAGAATGCTTAAACTGAACTGGACTGGCAGCTCATCGTTTTCTAGAATAAGAATGGGCTCTGTCCTGATTAAACAGGCTACAGTGTAAGCAGAGCAAACTGAAACAAGAAATTTCTTGTAACAATTGCTCTTTGGAAGTAGCACTTATGATAATGATCTTACACTTATATAGCATATTTTCCTCCCCCAAGATATTTTACAAATCTTAAACTTATGTACGAAACACAGGGACTGCTTTTTTAAACCACTGAAGTGATTATTTAACACACAAGAACAGTTTTAGGATGGGAAGTGAAGAATAATGTGTCCAATTGAAACTGAATAGAGTATTTAAGTAGATAGATTGGAGTTGCTCAAACTAAAACGTAACCAGGATAGTAGAGTTATAGTTCTCTTGGTCCTGAGAAAAGAAATAAGATCTTTAATGACTACAAATGGCTGGGACCTTGGCTTTACTTCTTATTCCCAAGATACCACACTTCCACAGACACAGTGCCCTCTAACAGAATGGCAGGACACAGGCGCATACAGACTTTGGGTGAAGAGTGCCACCTTCTGAGCCTCTTTACAAATCATCTGAGCCACTTTAACTACTTCCTGCAACAGCTAGGTGCTCCTGGGGACTCTCCCAAGAACTTGATGCTTAGCTTGGGAGACCTGAGAGAATCACAGAACAAGATCTATGATACTTATTGAAAAAAAGAGTTACTTACTTTATATTAACCATGTTCTTCAACACGTTGTCCATGTAGATCCAATTCTAGATGTGCATGTGCCTCATGCATGTGAGATAGGAATCGCTGAATAGCAGTGTCCGTTGTGCTGTGCATATCCTCATACTTTCCCACCCTGGGGCATAAATGGCAGAGTGGCCGCAACCATCCCTCAGTATCCTGACTAAAAAAAAGTGGGGATGGAGGGCAGGTCGTGCAATCCGCCAGAAGACAACATCTCAGAGAAGAAATGGTTACTTACTGGAACTGTGGTTCTTTGATTTGTGATGCAGACATGTATTCCACTTAGATGTGTGCACACCCAGCGCACCAGAGCCATAGAAATTTGCCTAGTAGTATCCATAGAGAGGTGGCACTCATGCCTAGTGGCCATAGCCCCTCTCCTAGCTACATGAGGTGGTGCTGCCCCAACCCTCCCTCAGTTCCTTCGCACTGAACACCCAGGAACGAGACTCTGATGCAGAGGGGACGGAAGGTGGGTCATGGAATACACATCTGCATCACATCTCGAAGAACCAGTTAAAGTAAATAACCATTTCTTCTTCTTCGAGTAGATGCAGACGTATATTCTATTTAGGTAACTCACAAGCAGTACCTCCCCCAGGACACAGGGCTCAGAGCCTACTTAAACAAGGACTGCAGGACCACTCCGTCAAAGGGTGCATCCACCCTGGAATATGCAGTTATGGCACAATGGTTTGTGAATGTATGTATCAATGACTATGTAGCAGCCCTGCAAATGTCCAATATGGAAATGTCACTGAGGAATGCTATGGATGTTGCTTGCGCCCTCGTACAAAGAGCTTGCACTCATTGAGGGAGCTTACCCAGAGCTATTTCATATGCAGTCTTGATGCAGGATGTTATCCATTTGGAGATTGTCTGTGAAAAGACCGTTTGACCCTTCATGCGATCTGCATATGACACAAACAAACGAGGCAAAGCACAAAACAGTTTAGTCCAGTCCAGACATCGTCTGACTTCTAAGATACAGAGATACCACTCCTCTGGAGATGAATGCGGCTTAGGAAAGAACACAGGTACAGCATGGTTCCAATTAAACTGAGAAACCACTTTAGAAATTTTTTTTGGATGCAGTTATAAGGTCACTTTGTCTTTGGAGAATTGTGTATAAGGACGCTCTGCCATCAGAGCCTGCAACTCACTCGCTCTCCTTGCAGATGTTATCACTAACACGAATGCAGTTTTCTGACACAAAAGCGGAAAGGGACAAGATGCCAGGGGCTTCCATTAAGATTGTTAGGACTGAGTTAAAGCCCCACAAAGGAACAAGCTCTCAGACCGGGGGATGTAGATGAAGGAGTCCTTTTAAGAATCTTGCTACCATGGCACTGCAGAAGATTGACCTTTTTGGAATGGGGAGATTAAGTTCCAATAAATGCTGCCAAATGCACTTCCAGTGAATTAAACACAAGCATCAACACCTGAAGGTGCAGCAGGTAATCCAAACTGTCCTGGATAGAGACCAGTGTCGGTTGGATTCCATGGGCTATTGACCACACCAAAAATCACTTTCATTTAGCTGAAAAGGGACATCCTGGTGGAGGGTTTTCCATTGATAAGGAGAACTTGTTGGACAGCCACTGAACACAGTTCTTCCTCCTCATTCAGGCAGGCAGCAGCCACGCTGGGAGATACAAGGAGTGAGTGCAAGGATCCAAGGATGACCTGAGGGATGATTGGGACCAGTGGAAAGGCATAGAGAAGAGCCCTCTGCCAGCTGAGGTGGAAAGCATTGGACAGGGAGCCTGGACTGATGCCCCCCGACAGCAGAATAGATGACATTTCCTGTTGTCCCTTGTAGCAAACAGGTCGATCGTTGGGATGCCCCAAGCTGTAAAGATGACCCGAAGGACACTTGTCTTCAGGGACCATTTGTTACTCAGGGAAAAATAGCTGCTGAGATGGGCTGTGAGATGATTATGAACCTTGGATAAGTGAATAGCTATCAGAGTAATGGTCTCCTCAATGCAGAACTGCCAAAACCTGACTGTCTCTAGGCAGAGTAATCTGAAGTGTGCTTCCCCTTGTTTGTTCACATAATACAACATGGTGGTAGTGTTGGTAAGTATGTGAACCACTGAGTCTCTGATATGGTCCTGAAAAGTGTGACATGCATTGTAGATGGCCTGAAGCTCTAGCATATTGATATGGAGTAAGGCCTTCTGCTCCTACTACAGTCCCTTCACTTTCAGTGACCCTAAGTGTGCCCCCCAACCCATTGGGGAGGCATCAGTAACAACTGACCTGGTTGGCAAGGACCAGAAAAAGGAAATATGTTGCCAAATGTTCTCTGGATGCATTCACTGCTGCAAGGAGTTCAGAGGAGACAGATGAACCAGTCTGTCTAGAGGGTGAAGCGTAGAATGGTAAATCATCTTGAGCCACATTTGAAGGGGGAGAAGGCACAACCTTGCAAACTGGACCACCTGCATGCAAGTGGACATGTGTCCCACAAGCCTCAGACACATCTGAACTGTCATGGAAAGCTGAGACTCAAGACTGAGGCAAAGACGGCAAATAGTCTGAAAACAGTCAGTCAGCAGAAATGCTTTCAATGTTGTGGAATCTAACAGGGTCCCACTGAACTCGATTTTCTGAGTGGGAGCCAAGGTTGACTTCCCAGTGTTTAGGCTGAGACCCAGATGCTTGAACAAGAGCAGTGTGGTGCCAGTGTGAGCAAGAACTTGCTCTCTAGATCTGCCCCTCAGTAACCATTTATCCCGATAAAGGAAGATGTGAATTCCTTTCTTCCTGAGATATGCCATAACAACGATCATGCATTTGGTTAAAACCCGAGGGGCAGAAGAGAGGCCAAATGGAAGCACTGTGTACTGAAAGTGGCATTCTGCCACAACAAATCGAAGGAATTTTCTGTGGCTCAGCAAAATCACCACATGAAAGTACGCATCCTGAAAGCCCAGAGCAACAAACCAGTTGTTCTGCGACAACAGACGGAGACTAATCAACAGAGTGACTATTTGGAACCTCACAGATCTGATACATTTGTTGAGGCTTGCGAAGGTCAAGGATGGGTCTTACCGCTCCCTTGCTTCAGGGTACCAGGAAGTGCCAGGAGTAGAAGCCATGACCCAGTGTTCCAGCAGAACCTCTTCCACCACTTCCAAAGCCAGCAGAGAGCAGACCTGCTTGAGAAGAAGTATCTCATGAGAGGGGTCCCTGAAGAAGGATGGGTGGAGAGGAACTGCATGGCATAACCTGATCTGAAGGTGCTTAGGAACCAGCTGTTGGTGGTGATCAAGTCCCAAGCATTGTGAAAGTGGGCCAGCCTGTCCCCAAAGTCGGGGGAGATGAGGAGAGAGGAGCAATGACTGGAACAGTGCTTTGGAGCAAGGAGTCAAAATGGGTGCTTGTAGGACAGTGTATGGATTGGCTGAACCCCAAGCCTGACTGCTTTCTCCTATGGGATCTATCCCTCTTTCTGGGGTAGTCCCATTGCCTTGGATGAGGGAAAGGCTGGCCAAACATGCACTGCAGACGATACTGCTGCTGGTGTTGCTTTTGAACGCCGTAGTGGTGTCTCTGCACCATCAGAGTGTATACTCCTCACATGACTGCAGGGTAGCCCTGGAGTCTTTGAAGGAGTGCAGCATCTTGTTAGTTTTGTCCAAAACCAGGGTTTGGCTGTTGAAGGACAAATTTTCAGTGGCTTGCTGGACACTGGTGGCAATGCCCAAATTCTGCAGCCAAAAAGCCCTCCTCTGGGTGACCTCAGAGGCCATCATCCTGACTGAGGTGTCTGCAATGTCTAGCGTGGACTGCAAGGACGTTTTAGGTACCAAGCAGCCCTCAGTGACAAATACCCAAAATTCCTCTCATGAGGCCTTGGGCAGCTGGTCTGCGAACTCTGACATAGCTGTCCAGTTAATGAAATCGTATTTGGACAGCAGAGCTTACTGGTTAGCAATCCGCACCTGTAAGGAAGAGGTATAAATATTCTTTCCCATGAGGGCCAATCATTTAGAGTCCCTATCTTTGGGTGTGGACTTAAACCTGCTCTGCCGGGCTCTCTCATTCACTGTAGTTACAAGGAAATTGGGGGTAGATGGGAGTAAAACCCTTCAAAAATCCCTGCAGAGGAACAAAATAGCGCTTTTCAATTTGCTCAGCTGCAGGCGGTACCAAAGCCAGTATGCTCCATAGAGCCGTAGTCAATTCAGGGAGCACATCACTGATAGGGAGGGGGA